AAACTAAAATTTTAAAAAGTGAGAAAAAATGATTTTTGATGGCATATTTGAGCTTGCCATAGACATTTTAGTAGGTATTGGGTATTTAAACGTCAAAATTGGATAAAAATTGTGGTTTTTACAATTTTTTTTTCTCGGCTATTTTACTACTATTTTACTACAAATAAAATCGGCCAAATTTCGAAGAAAAAAGTCTTAATTTCGGAAGTGGCCAACAAAAATGTTCTCGTTTTCTGCATGCGACCTAACAAGGACACTACATATATACCCCATTTTGATCACTTTTCGATGCTATAGGTTTGAAGACGACTTTACCCGATTTATCTACCTTTTTGAGTTAATCGAAAAGTTGTTTTTTTTGCCTTTTCTCTAAATACGGAAATTTTACGGCTTTGGTCATGAAAACCATTCTGAACAGGTTCATATATTGTAGCCTAGTGAATTAAGCCATTTGGAGTTTTTTTGATAACTTTTGAAAAAAAGGGTTTTTTACGTTTCTGACTCAACTATTTTTGTCAAATAAAAAAATTTCTTTTTTTTCTATTGCTTCTAATCAGTTAGAGACAAACTTAACCTTTTTGGGACAAATTCCAAGTCCAATTCAGCTATAAGTCACAAATGAAAGTCCACGTACTTGACAATGGGCTCGAAAAAGATTGTTGGGACTGTTTCCGAAAACTTGTTTTCGTTGGAACAGTCCTCTTCATGAGTCACTGAAAAATATAAGTTACTTGTAACACATCGGTTTTGGGATGTTTAGGAGGTTGAGCAGGCCACGAGTCAAGTAATGAAGCTGTCAGAAGAGATTGTGTCGTTGACTAATCTGATGCAAATCGTTTGGTGAAATCCATTCCAACACTTGCAGTACAAAACCGTTTCACAAGACTTTCGAGCAAAAAAGAGCACCCGTAGGGTGCTCCTTTTTGCGAGTTCCACATTCCTTGAAGCCAACGGCCCCCAGGCCACACATCAGAACCTGAACGGCAATCACCCATGCACCGCAGGTCAATAACTGGTGCTAGATGGTCGCGTGTAGCACAAAAAGCAATTAGGAAGGGGTAGGGGCCCCTTCCGGTCAAAAAGCAAAAAATTTTTTACGGTGGTAAATATTCCTAGAAACTATCGAGTTCTGCTAAACCGCCCGTCAGAATTTCCTAATTTTTTGCATGCGGGTCTGAATTTGGAAAATAATGGCAGTTTGTTAATGCCATTTTTTGATGGTTTCATTTTGAAGACCCCTTTTCCCACTTTTTCCACTTTTTTGAGTTAACTAAAAATGCGTTTTTTCGACTTTTCTCAAAATGGGTAAATTTTGCTGCGAAGTTCATGAAAACCATTCTGAACAGGTTCCTAACGTGTGGACTGATGAGTTAGTTTAAATGGAACAATTTTTTTTGACTTTTTGAAAAAATATGTTTTTTCCCGTTTGTGACTCAACATTTATCTTTTAAAAAATGAAAGTTTTCAGAAATGGGAGAAAATGGTTTCTGATGGTAGATTCGAACTTGCCATAGCCAATTTAGTGGGTTTTGATCATTTATTTGTCAAAATTGATTAAAAATTGTAGTTTTTACGACTTTTTGATTTGACTTTAATTATAAGTACAGTAATGAAATTAGTACTACCAAAATTCCGGAGAAACTAATCTGTTCTCAAAAACTTCCCGTAGGATTTTCGTAAATTTTTGCATGCGGGTCTGAATTTACAAAATAATGGCAGTTTCTCAATGCCACTTTTGGATGGTTTCATTTTGAAGACCCCTTTACCCATTTTTTCCACTTTTTTGAGTTAACTAAAAAGGTGTTTTTTCGACTTTTCTCAAAATGGGTAAATTTTGCTGCTTTGATTATGAAAACCATTCAAAACGGGTTCTCAACGTGTGGCCTAATGAATTAGCTTAAATGGAACAACTTTTTTTGACTTTTTGAAAAAATATGATTTTTCCCGTTTGTGACTCAACATTAATTTTCAAAAAAATGAAAATTTTCAAAAATGGGAAAAAAATGGTTTCTGATGGTATATTCGAACTTGCCATAGCCATTTTAGTGGGTTTTGATCATTTATTTGTCAAAATTGATTAAAAATTGTAGTTTTTACGACTTTTAGATTTGACTTTAATTATAATTATAGTAATAAAAATAGTACTACCAAATTCCGGAGCAACTAATCTGTTCTCAAAAAGTTCCCGTAAAATTTTCGTAATTTTTTGCATGCGGGTCTAAATTTTAAAAATAATGGCAGTTAGTTAATGCAACTTTTGGATGGTTTCGTTTTGAAGACCCCTTTTCCCACTTTTTCCGCTTTTTTGAGTTAACCAAAAACGTGTTTTTTGAATTTTTCTCAAAAAGGGTAGTTTTTTCGGCATTGCTCAACAAAACCTTTCTGAATAGGTTCATAAAAAGTGTTTCTATGGATGAGGCAGTTTGACACCAATTTTTTCATATTCAGAAATTTTTTTTTTTTTCAATTTCATCTCTAACTTTTTTTGGTCGAAAAATAATTTAAATTTTAAAAGTGAACAAAAGTGTTTTTGATGTATGTTTTCAGCTTGCCATAAGCAATTTAGAGTAGTTTGATCATTTTTCTGGTCAGTATTGAACAAAAATTGCATGTGTTTTTTTGTTGTCTTTGCTCAATTTCAATTATTAATTGACGTGATCCTAATTAAAAATCGAACAAAAAAACATTGAATTTAACAAACCAGATTCAGTTGTCAGTTTTTTTGTACTATTTTTTACATTCACTAGTGTAGCTAGAGTGCACTGACTTAGTAACTGCAAAAAAATGCGAGGGTTCCTTTTGTTTCAAATTTGAAAATTTGTTTGAAATACGAAAAAAAAACAATGTAAATTTTATCAAAAAGTTTGTTTGATAAAAAAACAGGCTCTTCAAATTTTAAATGTAATAGTTTACTGATTGTTGAGCAAAATGAAATAAGGAAAATTGTAACAAATGATTAGAATTTCCCTTTCCACGATTTTACGTTTAGTGCTTTAATCCCTATAGGATGCGCCCTGGGACCCTTCTGGTCCCAGGTAGGGGCATCCGGGACCTCGAATAAAGAGCAGAGAAATAGAGAGCAGCCGCTATGTTGTGCTGATATGTTTCAGCTTATACATTTTTTTGGAAAACTTGCACCCTAGGAGAGCGTTTTCTTTTCCTTCAGGAGACATTTAATATCAAATTTAATAGAAAGGTATTTTAGTTTTCCTGCTTCTTAGCCTTGTGGATACTGGGTTACATTTATGGAACCAACACGGTACTCTATTTGCTTCGATGACATATATCATGAAGGCGCATGATTATTTTCAGGATAAATTTCTCAAAATCTATTAGAAAAAGTTATCCGAAAAATTCTCTATCAAGCAGCTGTGTCTGTCAAACTTTTATTTCTTAGGCAATAACATTAATCGATTCCAGCTACGGAATGAATCAAATTTAAAAAGACGACAAGGAAGTGGCCTGACTGATCAGGTGGGTGGGTAAAGTCTTAGGTCGGGTGGGTGGGGCGAAACAATTTCCTCTAGGTCGAGCACATTGAAACACGGTCGAGCACCGACGGAACATAGCTGATTTTGGTCGAGAAAATCGAAACATAGGTCGAGCTCAGTCAAACGTAAGACGAGCAAAAACTAAACATAGTTCGAGCACAGTTGAAACATACAGTGAGCACAGTCGAATCATGGATCGAGCACAGTCGAATCACAGGTCGAGAACCGACAGAACATACCTCATTTTGGTCGAGAAAGTCGAAACATAGGTCGAGCTCAGTCATACATAAGACGAGCAAAAAATAAACATAGGTCGAGCAGAGATAAATGATACATTGAGCACAGGTCGAGCAGTCGAAACATAGGTTGAGCGAACTGTAAAACATAGGTCAAGTAGAGTCGAAAAAAGTGACCAGTCATTCAAACTTGGGTAGCTTTTCTTTAACCAGGCAAAAATTGGTTTTTTAACTTGCCATTTCCGCCAAAGTACTTGATAACAAACTAAACTCAAATTTCAACTCAAATTGTTGTGATAAAAAGAGTTGACAGAATCTTTACATATCACAATTTAGTCACGCTGCTTGAAAAGAAGCTTGAGATGAATCAAATAATTTTGGAAATTTTTTGTCTGTTGATTAAATCGAGACAATCGAAACAGTCATTTCTGTTCGAGAAAATTGAAACATATCTATACGGGTCGAACAAGCTAACTTTTTAAAATGCCGGTCAAGACAGTCGAGAAACTCGAAACATATCTATGCGGGGTCGAACAAATAAACTTGCTAAAAACGTCGGTCGATATTGACTTGTGGTCAAGGAAGTCGAAACATACCAAAAATTGGTCGAGAAAGTCGAAACATACTAAAATTTGGTCGAGAAAGTCGAAACATACCGAAAATTAGTCGAGACGGTCGAAACATACCGATTTTTGGTCGAGAAAGTCACAACATAAATCGATCACCTCGGCCGGGGTAATTCTCCTATTATAGTTTCCTAGTCACTGCTTGTTCGCAAAGTTTGCTGACATGGATTGAAATAATTTGGAAGTGAAGCATCGTAATGAACTTCAATGGCTGAATTAATCGTCCGATGTTGATACACCAATATTCTTCTCTGCTGGTCTTCAAAGTGAGAAAGACACCACATTGGAGCGCATAGATTCTTGAAATTGTCTATTATTTTTGCGCTAGCAGTAAAATGCTGTCTACTGCTGCCGGAAACTTTTTTGTTATCTCATTGACTGATTGCAAGTCCCCGTCCACTCGTATTTTTTTGGGATGAGCAGCAAAGGAGCACGATTTTTTGTTTGTGCTTACGAGAAACTTTTTGCTTGTACGTTTTCATATTCCTTGGGGAATTTTTTCTTATAACCTTCCTGCAAGTTCTTTGTGAATTTATGTAAAAGTAATTTCAATTTGGCTTACACTTGCTTCATGGAATTTATTTCAGTTTGCTAATAAATTGTTCTTTTTTCATATAAGAGAAATCAGTAATGTTATTATTATAGAGTTGTTATGATTATATTGCGGAGGTTTAAATGTCATCAGTGGAGCAAAAATTTGAAATTATACAGACATTGTGCTTCTTTAGCTTCTCGAAGCTCACTGGATCCTAAGTCCGTTACGAGTTATCTACAAGGAAAAGTTGATGGATTTCAAAGCTACCTTAGTTCATTGACTCATCTAGATAAGTTTCATTTGAATGAAGTCTCCAGTCATGCTTTTGAGGGCAAAGGGAAGTTTTTCAGGCCACGTCTAGTGTCCCTAGTGTCTATGTGCTGTAATTGCGCGACAATAAATTCCAAATTTAGTCTCCAGCCAAATCAGCTTAAACTTGCTTACATATCCGAAATGATCCACGTCGCTAGTTTGATACACGATGACGTGGTAGATAACTCTTCAGTTCGTAGAAGCTGTCCATCTCTTAGCGCACAGTACGGCGAGTCGACCGCAGTCTTTGCAGGAAATTTTGTGATGGCTCAAGCGTCAGTTGAGGTAGCGTCTTTAAAGAATACAGTAGTCACTAAATTACTTAGTCAGGTAACTGAAGATTTGGTATCCGGAGAGTTGATGCAGCTGGGAGTAAAGAAAAACTCTGAAGAAAGGCTAACTCATTATCTTGAGAAGTCGTACAGAAAAACAGCCAGCTTAATGGCACATAGTTGCAAAGCGTCCAGTATTTTAAATGCTCCTGATTTCTTCGAACGACATGAAGCGTGCTTCCAAATAGGTAAAAATATTGGATTAGCTTTTCAATTAGCAGATGACCTTCTTGATTTTGTCAGTGCAGCCTCCCAATCCGATAAACCAACAAATGCCGATCTTGCCTCTGGTCTTGCTACGGCGCCTGTTTTGTTCGCAGCATTCGAACACAATGACCTGAATACTCTTATCATGCGACAATTTAGCGCAAAAGGCGACGTTAAGTTAGCCAGAGACTTGACATTAGATTCGTCTGGCGTTCGAGACACAGAAGTAATGATTCATAATCATATCGAATCTGCACAAAAATTGACACACAAATATTTTGTTGACCACCCAGTTAGAACTGAACTCTTAAATCTACAAGATACGATACTAAATAGAATTAGCAAAGAAAAAATAGAAACTATGAAATAATCAATTCAAGCTACCCTACTGTTGACTTTTTTTTGAGCTGGATAGTTTAGCTATTAGGAATGTTGATAGCTCTTGTAATTTAGTCTGATCGCCCAAAAAAGACAAATTAATATTACTTTTCAACGTAGTTTTTGGGCGTCCGGTAAAAGGAAAATTTTTCCTAAAGTTGATTAAGAGTAATGAACGTAGTGAAGACTCTTATATAAGTCTTGCTGATTTTTGTTTGTTTTTTTTTTAGAAAAAGTCTTAAAAGTCTCTACTAACTACAGATGTCCATTCATACATATTGATGCATTTATGAAGGCACTTAGGTATAAATGCGTTTTTAAGTTCAATTGAAAGTCATCTGCTGAAAGTGACGTAAATAGCTTTCCCCAAATACGAACGTGGAAATGGCGCAAAAAAAAAACATGAACGATTTCTAGTTTCGAAAGTGGAATTAAGTTTTTAGATTTCCAGCGGAAAGAGCTTAAAGGGCATCTATTTTTTCTTTGAAGTTCGAAAGTTGAGATTTTTTTCAAGAAAGTCAAGTGTTTTTTTTTTTGCTTACTTGCGTTCATAACCGTTTCTAATCTTCGATTGGCTATCTTTTAAGACTTAAAGTAGAAAAAAATTAGAAGTTCGATCGAACCAATTTGGTCGGTTGATGCTAAATGAGCGACCAACATTTGGATATTGTTTTCTTAATGAGATCTGGTTTTCAGATACTTTGTTAGCCCTGTGGGCCTGTATATATATTTTTGAGAAAAATGCCTGACAATGAAGTGATTTACAACACGCTTGCGAGTCTAGCCCAGAACCCAGACTTGGGCGGTGTACATGGGATGCTGGATTGTGTTTTTGGCTTCCTAGCTGAACGAACTGATTTTTTCTCTGGCGGAAATCCGGGAGAGGCTAAGAAAATTGTGGATGCTGCGTATGAAAAATGGGCTAAGAAATCAGCATCTATTGCTGCCGAGAAAGAGAAAGAAAAAGAGAAAGCCGAAGAGAAGTTGAAAGCCAGATTAGCAGCTCAAAAACAAAAAGAAGAAGCAGAAATTAAAGCGAACAAAGCAAGCAAAGAAGATGAGCCCAAAATCCAAGAGTTGACCGATGAGCAGGCGGAGGAGCTGCAGAAAAAGTTGGACGCTGAGAAGGCAGAAGCGCCCGGTAAGTAGGACTACTAAGTTGTGTTAGTGCTTTCAAGAGAAACAAATTATTAAGAGTCGATGAACGTAGTTCAGACGCTTTTATAAGTCGCGATGTTTTTTTTTCGTTTTTTTTCAAGAAAAGCTTGGAATGTTTGTTCAGGCTCAATATTTTTTTTGTGGCTGGATTTTTGATTTCTTTACGCTTGCGATTAGTAAGCGTTATCAAATCGGAATGTAGACTTTCGGGTTAACAACTTATTTCACGAATCCAGTGATTCATATGATGCTGCTATGAAGAGGTCATATGGTGCTGCTATTCAGCTGACACGCTAAATTTCATGAAAGTTCAAATTAAACTACTGGGTGGGTACTAGTTACTATCGGGTGGTTTCATTGGGGACTTGAAATTTCTAAAGTTTTTTTTTTTTACAAAATCAAGTTTTTTTTCCGTCTAAACTGGTGTTTGCTCAAAGATTGTCCGCCGTGTTTCCGCTTCGTAAGTTTTGTTCAGTTGCTAATTTGAATTTCAAATCCCTTGATTGGCATGCTTGTCTAGAATTCCTGTTTGATAAAAATAGGCATTATGAAAGTGTATGGGATAGGGTTTTTACTTTACTTTTTTGAGAAGCTTTGGAAAATTTTGTCACTTTTTTCTCAAAAACCCTTCTATCGATTTTCACAAAAGGGAAAACCATAGAAAGAGCGCATACATGTTTTGTGCCCCTGCATACTCCCCTGAACTGTTTTTGTTTTACCCCTTTGTCAACAGCCTTCGAAAAAGTCAGTGGGGAAATATTTGACCAATATTTTGGATTTTTTTTTTGTTTTGTCAAACACAAACCTACCTAATCTAAAACGCGGATTTGAAATGCTTCCCTACAAGGCTGTAGTTTTTTTTACACATAAAATTATGGCACTCTGCACAAATTATGGCACAAATTTTTGATTTTTTTTAAAGAATTTTTTCTAAATCTTTTCAAAACTTTTTGCGAAAACTAACCAAACCAAATTTGAGGTTGTGGGTTCAAAGGAGATAAAGGGTAGTGGGGAGCTCCCCTGCATTGGCGGCCACTCACAATTTTTTTACGAGAAAATTTATTGTCCTCCGAAAGCCAATTTATTGATTTTTGAGTGTTTTCCAAGTTTTAGGATTTTTCCGATAAATACTTTCACATATCTGAGATTTTGGTTCACTCCAAAGAATTGGTTGTGGGAAGCTCCTTTGCATACGCGATAGTCCTCGGAAAAGTCAAAGTTTCGGTTTTTTTACCGTTTTTTGAAACTTTTTGACTTTTCTCGAGAACTACTCTGCCAAACCTGGATTTTTGGGGTCAATCGAAATAAGTTTCAAGTTGGGTCAAGCTGTTCTGCTTAAGCGGCCACGCCCAATTTTTTTTAAAACAAAAAAGCTATGATTCTCGGAAAGGTCAGCTTTCTGATTTTTTGACCGTTTTTGGATTTTTCTCGATAACTATCTTTCCAATACTGATATTATTAGTTTAATCGATACATCAGATTGTTGGAAGCTTAGTTTCATAATTTGTTAAGCCCATTTTCTTTCAGAACAAGTTATGGATTTCAATGAAAGGTTTGAAACTTTAACCGTTTTTGGAATTTTTTTTCGGCTCTACTCGAAAATTACTGTGTTAAGTCTCAGTTTAAGTGTTCAACCGAGAAACCTGATTATGGGAATCTTTTCTACTTTACCAGCCACGACTTGCTTTTTACAAGTTGTAACAGAAAGAAGTTACGGATTGCAGAGAGTCAAGTTTTGACCGTTTTTTTTTAGAATGACCGAACTTTTTGAATGTTTTTAAAAACTACCCTATCAAATCTGAGATAAAAATTGCAATCGAAAGAAGCAAGGTTTACTGCAGAAGCGGCTGCTCCCAATTTTTTTTGTGAGAGTAATCTTATGTTTTTAGGAAAGTTTCAAAAGTTTTTTTTCAGCATTTTTTGTTTTTATTTTGCTTCTGTATGATTGTGTTGCATCGAATTGTTGCGAAGCTCCGCTTCGCCTCTGTGCTTCAAATTCAGTTCATTTCCTTGTTAAAAGGAAGGTAAACTCCACTATCGCATAGCGAAAGTGCGGGTCACGAAAAACGTCATGGATTTCTAATTTCGAAAATGGAATTTAATGATCAGATTTCCCACCGAAATAAGTTTTTCACCGTTGGCTATGTTTTTAGCTTTAAGAGGCTTGTTTCTAAGGGGTTTAAGAAGCAGGTGCCAAAATTTTCGTAGATTTTTGGCCAAACACTCACAGATCTAATAACTACAGTAGTGCATCGTACTTATTAATGCCTTCGAATGCGCTTAGATGTATATACACTTTTTGATTTCAATTCATTCGCTAAAAGGCAAACAAATGGCTCCATTTTCGTTAGTGTAAGCTGTGCGAAAATCGTGATCGATTTCTTGTTTCGAAAAAGATCCTAACTTAAAGATTTCCAGTGGAATAAAATGTTTATTTAGTGATCATGTTTTCTCAAATTGGGTTAATTTTATCGAAAAAGTGTCAATCATAAGTTGTTTTTAAATTTTTTTTTCAAGTTTGTGAAAAAGGATATTTGCTTTATCGAACCTTAAGTACATCGAGGCCCTTCCCGCTTGGTCTGGAGGTAATGCGGTTGCCTTTGCACCCTATGGTCTGGAATCCCGGCCAGAGCTTGTTTATTTTTCCGTGTCTGAATTTGCGTTTCGAAACGTCCAGGCTGGACCTTTTACGTTTCGAGTCCTGGCCGGACCTTTTTTTTTCAGCGTCTGAAATTGATTTTTTGTTCGGGAAAAGTTGATTAGTCTGACTATAGTTTGTCGGCTTAGTTCCACACAACAGCACTTTTCATTGTAGTCTGAAGTGTCCTTCCTTGATTAACTCCTGCTGTTTGGAAATTGACTAACTCTGAATGGTATATTTTCCACTTCCTTGTTTTTTTTTGCTTAGAATTTATGTTCGGCCTAAATGATTTTGGTTTATGTTTTATCGGTTTGGTGAAACGATTTTGCATCGGCTTAAGGCCGGCTTTTTTTTCAATCGACTTTATCAGTTCGGTTGAAATAAAGTTAAAAATGCAAATAATTAAACCGCTCATTTACGACAATAGTTTCCTGTGGCATTTTTGTTTTCGGATTAATGGGCGTCTAGTCTCGTGTTGTCGGCTGAAAGAACGTTCGGTAAAGAATTAAGCTTGCTTAAGGCTAGTGGTAGTGTTTCTGGTCGCTATTTTTCTGAAATTGAGTTTTCCTTTTTTTTCGGTTTGCTTATTTTCATCTCATTTTCTACTTAGTAGCTTGCAATGCTACGCTTCGCCTCTGTGTTTAATGATTAGTTTCCCAAAAGCAAGCTTGATAACTAAATTTTTTTAAAATCCATACGAGTTTGTTACAATAAAAGCAAGCAATATTAATGGATGGAAGGAAAAATCGATTTAAGGTGAAGCATCATCTTCGTCCTCATCTAGTTCCAAAACATCGGAGGGTGCCAAGAAAGACGAAGACAAAGATGAGGACGAGGAGAGTGAAGAAGACAAGGGCAAACTGAAGCCCAACTCCGGCAACGGAGGAGACTATGAAAACTACAGCTTCACACAGACACTCAGTGAACTGGATGTCAGAGTTCCCCTGAAGGTAAGCGCAGTTTTCTTTAAAAAATAACAAGACTAGGTTTGGCAGTTCGTCTTGGTATTTTCGGTGAACAGAGTATACTTGAGATCGTTGTTCCGACTACAAAAAATGGGGCGGAACTTTGTCTTCGGATGTTATTTTAGTTGTTTTTGTTTTCCACGAAGTTAGGTATCACAATAATTATTGGAATGAGTCTAGTGATATATCATGTTAAAGCTCTTTTAGTCGGGATTCGAGCGACCTTAAAAAAAGGTTCAAAAAATGTTCGAGCAAGTACAGCTTTAATTTAATCATTTTTTTCCGTATCCAGTTTTCGCAAATAGGGTTATTTTTATTAAAATTTTTCTAGAAATTCAAAGAACTTTAAGACTTAAAAACGTTTTTTTTTTTAAATTCGGAAGCTGACATTTTTTCAAAAAATCAAGTCAGTATTTTTTTTGTTTATTTGCCTTCATTGACTCTTTTTCATTTGTCTATTAGCTATTTTTCATTTTTTTCCATTTTTTCGTTAATTGTCATTTTGCTGGACGCAACTAATATCGGTTATGCCTAATTCACTAACTTTCAACGCGTTTGTAAAGTTATCTCAGCAGGCCACACCTCATAAAACGACGCTAATTTTGAAGAAAAAGAAAAAACAACTTTTGTAGTTTTTTATGAATTGGTCGGAATATTCTGTGGTAATCGCCCAGCTACCGGATGTCTTTGTTCAATTTTATCATTGGTTAGGATGGTATTTTTGATATACAGAATATAATGTTTATAAAGTAACAGGAATCATTATCTGCAGGAATCATTTTTAATGGGATCGGCGGCGAAGTGGCTAAGTCTCCATCTGTCAATCGAAACTAAGGTAGTTTGAGGCCGTGCTCATTGCTTGAGGGCGTGGCAAATTTACCCAGCTCAGAAAAATATCCGAAAAATGCATGTAATTCTGATTCTGGGGCACAGCAGCGGTTGTCCCCGGAGAGCTGAACAGCTTGCATGTTGGTCCTTTCCCTCGTGGATAATATGTCTTTACATAATGATTTGAATATGTGCGTACTTGTTCACTGAGTAGGTTGACTTCAAAGTGCGTGCACGTGACTGTGCGGTGGACATCCAGAAGAAACGCCTGAAAGTGGGCATCAAAGGGAAGGAGCCAGTGATAGATGGAGAACTGCACAAGGAGGTCAAATTGGAGGAGTGTATGTGGAATATAGAAGGGCAGGCTATTGTGTTGACTATGGAGAAGGTGGACAAAATGAGTTGGTGGTCTCAAGTGGTCACTTCAGATCCTCACATCAACACTAAAAAGGTGAATCTATCAATAACATTAACCTAGATTGTTATCCACCGTTTTGATAAATCTAAAAAGTTCGTCCGCTGATAGCAGTTAATCAAACAGGTTGTCCGCTAGTAATATAGTTGCTTAACTGGCTGTGCAATATTTAGAGGAAACCCGTTTGTCGACTCGTTCTGTTTCATTGCGCTGATTTTTGTACTCTATTTTTTGGCTGCCTATATATGATTCAAGGTAAAGCATATATATTCAATCATGTCTAACAGTTTTCTATATATTTTTCAGAGTGTTTTTAGATATCAACAAATAAGCATGTTTGAAGGGCCAGAAAGTTGTGTTTCAAAACCAGCTCTAATTGATATCTGAAAAGGAGATTGGAGTGATTTTATTGTGTTGCAGGTTGAGCCCGAGAACTCTAAACTATCGGACTTAGACGGGGAGACGAGGGCTATGGTGGAGAAGATGATGTACGACCAGAGACAGAAGGAGATGGGACTGCCCACCTCGGAGGACCAGAAGAAGAACGACATCCTGCAGAAGTTCATGGCACAACACCCCGAGATGGACTTCTCAAAGGCCAAGATATCCTAACATTACAGTTGCCGTCGCCATTACCAACACCATCATCAGTACAATAGATTCTTTTTCTTACCAAGGATTGAATGCTTTCAGTGAAGTCCTTCATATTATGTGTTTCTTCTGATTGAACACGGAAGATTATGAATAAAATTATTGAAACGAATTGGTTTTTTTTTTAATAGTAAAAAGGCTTTCTAATAAATACTACTTTTTATATTCGGAATGGTTAAGGGTTTTAACAGTATCTCAAGGGATTTTAAAAGCGCGCGCTAAAAAACACAATTTTTGGTCAACATTCAGAAAATGCTCAAAACGACGTTCTAGTTTCGACACATCTCGAGACTAGAATGATCTCGGTGATTCCAGAGTTTTGGCAAGTCCCGCGAAACTTTTTTCAACCCCTCCTCCGTTAAAAAGTTTTAACGAATTCCTCGGGATCTCATAATATATAAGTTATTTCCTGTCAATCAATGGTGAATCTATGTCTGAAACAGTCTTTTCGATTGGTATAAATTGACAATTGTTGTCAAAAGTATTTCATTTTCAGATTTTGAAAATGCGACATTTTCGCGACGCAGTGTCGCTATGTACGCTCTGCTCAAAAGTCAGGTTATTGACCCAGTATGATCCCGGTATCTCAATTTCAAGAGGCAATGTGTTTCGGGCGTTCGAACCAAAGCCAGATAGACGAAGTCGGCAAACAGGTGCACAATCAAAGCAAAAGTTTATCAAAAATCCAGAAGATCGAGACTACGAATTGTCTCTCAACCCACAGCCGCGGGAGGAGAGGATGCCAGTTGATCAGGACTGGACTGCAGTTTGGCCAACTGCACAGGTAGGCCAAGACCAAATAGTTAAGAACGCATTCTAGGTTGTAAAAATTGGGAGGATAGTTGGTATGTTGGTAGTATTAAGTTTCGATTCGAGCGAAAAGAAAAATGAGCTGAGAAATTAACTAGCTGTTGAATGCGACTCACTCTCCCTCAGTAATAAAAAGTTACAAAAAAAGACGTCCGACACTTTTAGGAACAATAGCAGTAGTTGTAAATGTTTTTGCAACTGCAGGAATTGCTGCTTTAGTTCGTCTTGCAGATATCCTGTAAAATATTAGGGATGAATTGATCCATTATAACTCTTTATTTTTATCATAGGTGTTTCGTCCCTCTGTCGTGCCTCTTCCGATTAGAATGGGCAAAGGCGCCAGTGTAGTGACAGGGTTCGTCCCTCCTTCAAAGTACGCGAATGTGGAACTGCTCAAAATCAACAACTTCCTACATCTTACTCCTCCAGCAGTTGAGAAACACTGCAATACAATCAAGAAATTTATGACGAAGTTTCCGGAAGAGTTGAAGGATGAGCATCTAAGAAGAGAGCACTTTCCTCTGGAGATCACGACGAGTGACTTCTGTTTTTCGGGCCCAGCTGTACGTCATCCGGATTCAAGAATATGCACCCTGAAAATAAATTTGACTGATTTGAATTTGGAGGAAAGAGCGAGGAATAAATTGATACTTCTGCTCGAAGACAGGTAATTAGACATGCGTTTCTGTGAATTTTTATTAGAATTGAATATGCTTCGTGATGTAATTAAAATTATGGACCAACAATAAAAGTTAGTACACAAAATTGAAGTAAACATTTTGGATCAGCTGTTTTTTTTGTAGGTACGACGTAGAAAATGACACCATGACCATAGTGACAGACAGGTGTCCGACGAGGAAACAGAACAGAGACTACGCCATCTATCTACTCACTGTTCTCTACCACGAGAGCAACCGAGTTCAACCCTTCGAGGAGTCCAAATCAGAACATGACGATGAGAAATTCATTTGGGATCGAAGTAAAGCCAAAGCTGCACTGGAGGAATATCTCGAAATATGCAAAGAAACTGACGAAAGAGATTCGAGTTCAAACATTGAGAAGTTTGGATGTGTGATGACCAAATTAGTGGACGAAGGAGAAACGCAGGAAAACTTGGAAGAGTTGAAAAATGCATCTATTGAGTTTCTCGAGTTGAAACCGTTTTCAATTGAAGCAAAAGAGATATCTAATTAATTTTATTATTCCCATCTTGTTTCTGTAGCGCTTCCTGGATGTAAGTGGCTTACTATTGAAACGTAATTAAACATGCTGTATCTACGGTATTACCCATTGTAGATAGCAAACCTATTTTCAGATAACTTTGAAATGTGATTGAAGCTGTGATTTTTTTATTGTGTATTTGCGAAGGAAAAGAAGGTACTTGGCAATGGAATTGGAATCAGGTGCTGCGAACGTTTCTTTGATTGGACTCAAGCTGAATACTAACAAGGCTGGGCTGGAAAAAGTTGACAAGGAAAAAGTCAATCAGGTGAGTTAATGAAAGTTTATCTGATTTTTGGTTAAGACCATCAGCTTGATTTTTAACAAATATATTTTGTTAAAAATTAGCTTTTCGAAAAGCCAGGCCTATAACTTTTTTTTCTAATAGAAAGTGTCTATTTATGAGGATTTTGAAGATATTAGCGAAATCCTTTCAGGTTAACAAAATCCTGGCGTTTCAGATCTTTTAAACAATATGGAGATCGCTAATATCATCATAATTCTTAATTTTGCTCTCACCAAAAGCGTGGAATTCTAAGAAGCTTTGAAAATTTGTATTCAGATCATTTTGGAGGCGTCGAAGAACTCCAGATTTTACGAAAACGAGAAACGCAAATCAGCCGAGATAGCCAAACAGGTGTCCCAATTGGTGGAAAAACGAAAATCGATCAGCCAATCAGATTTGTTGTTTGCAGCTCAAGAAGTGGAGCTTCAGATGATGTTGATTGAAGCGCAGAGAGATTTGAGTCACTTTGTGGTTCATGTGGATATGGATGCATTTTATGCTGCAGTCGAAGAGAGAGATTGTCCTCAGCTGAAAGTAAGTTGTTAACTCCTCCCCCAATTTTCAAACAAGCCGCCCCTTCCCACTTTTCCAAGATTCTGAGCATCAGGTGGTCAAAAGAGTTTCGGCTCAAAATTAAAATAAAATTAGTGCTCCATCACTAGAATCATGACATTCTTTAGCATCTGAAAACAAAAAGGACATCATTTCTGGCTGAATTATATTATCATGGAGCACTTGCATTGAGCAAGCGAAATTAGTTTCCTAACTGCAATTATATGACTGTTTCAAATTTGACTGAAACTGGTCTATTCAAAACAGCGTTTTAGCATGGCTTAGATCTGCTTTAAAAATGTCTAACTAAAAATAAAAAGAGCAGCGTGAAATTTTGGGAATAGCCTACTTTTGGTTGCATGGACTATTGGATTACACCTACGAGATTTTTTAGAAAGAAAGAAAGAAAGAATTTATTTCTTCAGACAAACAAAAACATTTACAAAATATAAATCAAATAAATTAAGCATTTTTGAATTTGTACGAATGAAAATACATTTTAGACAGTCCCATTGGGCGTCGGAAGTGAATCAATGCTGTCAACGTCTAACTACATCGCGAGGCAGTACGGCGTACGGGCAGCCATGCCTGGATTCATTGCGCGGAAACTCTGTCCGGAACTGAATATAGTGGCTCCTGATTTCGACAAGTACAGATCGGCTAGTAACCTAGTCCAAGATGTGTTCAGAAGGTTCGATCCCAATTTCAGGATGGTCAGTTTGGATGAAGCGTATCTTGATTTGAGTGTCCACATGAGTCAACGAGACACTTCAACAGAGGAAGAAAGAACAGTGGAGTATGTTGATCAGGTAAGTCCTTACATTAATCATTTCTGTAAACTTCAGTCACTATATATACGTCATCGAAGTAACTGCGTCAAGAAGCAGAAGTTTTTCTCAAATGCGGAGTTTCAATTTCTCAACCATCCCTTTAATTAAAGCAATCTTGTAGCTGCTTGTTGGTAGCCAAGTTACAACGTTTTGCTACCTTTGTTTTTGGTATCTAGATTGTTTAACTTTGCAAAATAGATATAACTTATTATTTTTTAGGATTCTGGCGACAAGATCTCGAAAATTTTTGGACGGGATGTTGAATCTGCAGTTGAAGAAATGCGATTCAGAGTATTCTGTGAAACAAAACTAACATGCAGTGCTGGAATAGCTGCGAATTGTCTTTTGGCCAAAATATGCAGTGACAAAAACAAACCGAACGGACAATTTTACCTATCTAGCTCACGTGATAAAATTGTTGATTTCATGAAGACGTTACCAATTCGAAGTGTGAACGGTATCGGAAAAGTAACTGAAAGTTTGCTGAATAGTCTCGGAGTTACAACGTGTGGCGATCTCTATAAGAAAAGAAATGAGTTGTTTTTGATGTTTTCGAAGTCGTCTTTCCAGTACTTTTTGAGGGTTTCGATGGGCATTGGGGCTGTGCCTGATCCTGACGATACCAAGGAAGAAAGAAAAAGCATGAGTTGCGAACGAACGTTTCAGGTAAATAAAATCTGATTAAGCTTGTGCGATCTTTAAAACGAGTGTTTGTTTTTTGCTGATTATTTTTTATTAAAATGAGCGAATTTTAATCTTTAACAACAGTAGACAGCTTTATTGCTTCTAGCACAAAGTTTCGACCACATAATATGAAAAATAATTTATTTTTTCTGGGGGATGAATTGTCAGACTTTCGTTTGTCTGCTCATTTTTTGTTGGCTAAATTTCCAAAAATGCTATTTTCCTCCGATTTAAAAAATTTTCACTACAGTTGAAACTTGTTCTCTTATTTGTAAAGTTATCAACTAGGTATTCGAAAATCGGAGTTGATACCTTTTCGTTTCCAATTTGTCCTAATTTTTTTCCAACGAAATGTTTCGGCTTACGTTTATCGGCTTAGTCACCATATTTTGCTAAGTTTGTTAGTAAAAAATTGTGTTTTCGAATTTTATTGTAATTAAATTCTTTCAAATTAAAAAAGTTAATATTATTTTTTTGAAGTGATTTGCGTCTCCTTTTTTTCGCTACCTTGAAATATTATGCTTGCATTTAAGTTAATGCTCCGTTTTGCCTGCCTCTATATCGTAAAATGAAAATAAAACCAAAATTTTGAAAAAAATCTTGTTTTTCACGGCTAATAGCCAAACATAGCTCGATAGTAGACTTAAAGCAAAAAGTTCACACTTATTTTTCTCGACGCTGAGAGTTTTTTGAAGGCCGATAATTGAAGACAAGGCTTTGATGTGCTATACCTATTGACGCATTTGGATAATTTTTTGTGTTATCTGTTGGAAAACAAGTACTTCCGTGCATTTGCGTGGCGAAAACACACCCAAAGACAAAGTTCCCCTCCACATTGAGCGGTTGAAACAACTTTCAGAAGATCAAACGTAGCAAGAATTTCATCTAATAAAATGATTCTTAGGTGCTCAATACGAATAAATTTTTTGTTTGCTGGCCATACGTTAAAGCTTTCAGTTTCGCTATTAAGCTTTTGTGTAACTAAGTTATTACGCATCGTCCATCATTTAGTTACGTTTGCGATCAGCACAAGTTATCAAATTGGAATTTAGCTTTTCGATGTTTACAATTGCTTAACAAAATCACATAAATGTTTTTTACACTTGCGAGAGCAAGTGTCTTGGAATCGGGAACTAGATTTTTTTCCCATAAACAACTTTGCTTGCAAGAAATTGAGCTTGCTTTATTATTGAACCTCAACAATTTGTAGGTTTGTTCCCCCCTTTATCTGGAAGTAACGCTTAAACGGTCCGGTGTTGGAGTCCTATCACGACTTTGTTTTTTCAGTATCTATGAAATAATAAGATTTTTTCCGTTAGAAATTGAATTCTAGGACTTATTTGTCTGCTCAAATTTTGTCGGCTGCGGTGTCATATTAAAGAATTCTGTTATGCCGTAAGCAAGTGTCATTGTGGTTTCAGGGGGACTTGAAAATTTTTTTTGTAAAATCAATTTTTTTTCGGCTCAACTGGTGTCTGCTCAATGATGGTAAGCTTTGTTTCCCCTTTTGATCCGTTGCTAATTACGCTTGCGATTAGAAAGCGTTATCAAATCCGAAAATAGACTGCTTTCGGGTGAATAACTTGCTTAACACAATCACTGGAATCACTTGGTCTCTTGGTTCATAATGAATTTAAGTTTGTAAGTGTCTCCGGCACACTTAGTCTTGCGGTAACGAATACGCCTGGGACGGCAAAGGTTTTGGGTTCGAATCTAAACAGGGCCTGTAAACTCTACTATAGGACAGAAAAACGTGGTCGCCTTCTAGTTTCGAAAATGGGTTTCAATTTTCAGATTTCACAACGGAATAAAAAATACCTATTGATCCAGTTTTCTCAAATTGGATTTTTATCAGAAATTTTTTTACAGAAAACTGCTGTGGAGTTTTAAAACCATATTCAGAGTTTTAAGACATATGTTTTTTTGAAAATCAAAAGATGAAGTTTTTTAAAGCTATATGTTTTTAAGGCCATATATTTTTCATGTTTTCCCAAAGAATCTGAAGTTTTATAAAGCCATTTTCACAGAGTTTTATGGCCGTTTTGTTTCATAAAAGAAGTCAGTGTTTTCGGTTTCCTTGCTTTCACTAATTCTTTTCCAGCTATCAACATAATTTAGCGGCTTTAGTCTTATTCTCTATGGCTAGTGCTACGAAGCTCCGCTTCGCCTTTGTGTAAAAATTGTCTGTTATCTCAAACATTAGATTTTGGTATTTGGCTCAGCCGAATAGTCGCAATCAGTTTTTAAGATTCTGTGTTTTCAGCGACTGTCAAGCAAAGAAGATCTGAAGTCGGTGATCAAAAGTCTCAGCCAAGAACTCAGTCAAGATTTGACAAAAGAGAAACTCTACGGTCTGAATTTGACCTTGAAGGTGAAATTGACATCATTTGTTGTCAAAACCAGAGCTATCATGTTGCCATATGCCTTACATGACGAGGAAAACTTGTACATCTATGGATGTAAAATTCTGGATCGCTTTTTGAAAGATCTAAATGATAAGAAGTTTGGAGTTCGACTTGTGGGTTTAAGAATGGCTAAGTTTGCGAAGAAAGGAACTGTGTCAAATTCGAAAAAAGCTGTTGCGAACAACTGCTTAATTGATAAGTTGGTTGCGAATTCAAAATCAGTTTCAGCTAAATCGACATCAAAACAAGCTGAAGTTTTAGGAAACAGATACGCTGAAGATATTACATCGTGTGATCAGATATTAAGTTCTGTCGTGGGTGAAAAAGATATAGTTGGTGGCACAGAAGCTGCGAGTTGTTCTAAAGATACCTCAGCAGACAATCCGTTAGATTCTTCGCTTTGTCTTTTCGATGATGACGAAGATGAACTCGAAAATAGCAATAAAATCACACTTCCAACAATTGTTGAAGAATCGCCAAAGTTAGTTCGAGGTGTTTGTGCTGAAATACAACCGCAAATGGAGGAGCAAAATGAATTCAATTTTGTGCATGAAATGAACTCTGATGAACTGACCAGAAAACAATGTATTAACAAAGGTCAGAAAGGACCTGTTATAGGTCATGTTATAAGAAGTAATTCTACTACTACTGATATTTCACCTCAGACAAGCTCCAAACCGAAAAACTATTTGGAGACCAATTCAGCTGCAGAAGATTTAAATGAAGATTTACTTGTCGAGGAAACATTTTGTCCAATTTGTGGCCAACTTGTTTCAGCGAATGAGGATATAAATGCGCATGTAGATAACTGTTTAGCAATTATGGAAGTTCGAAATGTTCTAAAAGAGCAATCTGGCCATTCAAACGCAAAAACTGGAAACTTTGCCAGTCCAGAAGTCGGAAGCCGTCAGCAGTCAAAAAAGAGAACAAGGAATGAAGCAACAAAAGCGCAGAGATCTCCGAATTCAAGTAATGTCGGTAAAAAACGAAAAAATGTGGTGGAAAAACGAAGTCGAAATACGGCCAATAAATCAGATTCTCAAGCTAGTTTGAGTACCTTTTTGCGTCGTAAATGACCTGAATTGAAATGAATTTGTTTTGTTTTGTTTGATTTGATTGCTTGAATAAAGTTAGAATAAGATTGATATAGAATTTGTTTTTTTGAGCTTGTTTTTTTTCCAAGCCTTGTTGTTTTTCATATAATAGTTGTTTAGTTTTACAGATTCGAAAATGAGTTTGGTAACACATAGCAGTACAATCAAACTAGCCGGTAATCTGGCTAGGTCTTCCATTGTTTTCACACAAAATATGTCGAACAGAAGTCAGATTTTTAATCCCTTCAGTAATAATGATTCACCATCATCAGGGTTAGTGCAGACTCAGAGGGAAATGTCATCAGGGGGTAAGGAGACTTGGTTGCAGAAGTTCTTCACTGTGGATACGACCAAGACAGCTCACAGTGACGTAGTCGGCAGTCCAAACTTGTACCGACTGGTGTACTTGAGCACGATTCCGGAACGAAATGTAAGTGTCCTAAATGACATCGAAATCAAAGAATGAAAAAACTTGTGTGGTAGATCTGAAATCTAGTTGCGGTTCGAAAACAGCAAGAATAATGGATTTCATGTTTCTGTTCTTCGTTGCTCTCTCTCTCTCTCTCTCTCTCTCTCTCTGTAGTCGTGGTACCTTGGTATAATTAAGCTTTGTAATAAGCTTCGTTGAGTATAAAGGAAAAAAATTATCCTGTGAAAGTTACATAGGCTCCGAATTTAAACCAATCTGATACTCTGACAGGCGGAAATATAAAATAATGACGAAAATATAACGTCCCTGTACCAATTTAAACTTCAGAGGAAACGGGACGATCATAATTGAAGAGGCTATTTCATTCAGTAGAGCTGTTGGTGTTCAGCCTCAAACACGTTGGGTGCCATTTAAGAAGTTGCTTGGTTCAAGTTATTGATAGAATTGGTTGTTCAATTTTTCGCAATTGATATGTTCCTATTTGCCACGTAGTGCTACGTGAAAAAACTTTACATCAGTAGGGATGTTAGGCGGGCGGCCCCACGAATTCGAAATTTTAAGCACTCAGACATCTTGATTTGGTACTCATTTCACAACAGGTAGTACATGAAACTTTTTTTTTATCTTACGACGATTTTCTGAAAAATTCAAGTTCAAATTTGATTTCAAATTCAAATTTGACAATTCAAAGTCGTCCGCTAAAAAGAAGGCAGTTTACGCTCTCCAATTAAAAAGTACCAAGTGCGAGAATGAATTCAGTTAATTAGTATACTTCCTAGCGTAATAAAGAAAATTAGTGTAAATGAATGAAGCGAAAACACTAATGTTGGTCTTGGTTTTTTGGGGCAAAAGCCTTGAAATTTGTTCACGCTCAAATTTGTTTTTTTTAGCGTTTTCAATTTCATTTTTAAAGTTAAATTCAAAATAATTTGCCGAAAGGCAGGCAATTTCCGTTTTCATATAGCTGAGTGAATAACTTGAAATGTGCCTGACCTCTTGTGTCGAAAAGACACATTGAGTGGAATAAAAAGACATATTGAGCCAGCTATCTCATGTATTACTATTTTGATAACTTTCTTCAAGTTTTTGCGAGAAATTTTAGAGATAACACTATATTGTTCGGATGTTTACTCGTTTTATTTGTTCTAGTTGGTTTTTGCTGCATTTTTACAAGTACACGAAAACAAATGTATGTGTTTAGGAGGATTTTGTGAAGCTGAGCACAAAGATGTTGAGTAAATTCACGGAGGACAGAGACGACTACCGACTGGTGGGGGCCTGGCAGACAAGGATTGGACACGGCGAAGAGATTGTGCATCTGTGGCAGTACAAGAACGGATACCAAAGCATGGACGATGAGACAGGCGACGATTTCTATCCCGACGACAAGGTAAGTTTAAAGAAAAGAGAAGTTAACTTTATGTTCTGTTCTTATAAAACTCAAATGAAGTTATAATCTTCTTGGAACATCCTATTCTCTGATGCCTGATATTTATGAATAATGTAATCGTGTTATCAAGACACCGTGTCCAAGTAAATGAGACAAATGATTTTTCTGCGGAAGGTCAAAGTTTGAATCACGTAGTTTTTTCCCTTGCAAGAGCATGTGTACTTGGAATCGAAAACTAGTCATTTTCCCGTATTTTTTTACCAATCTGTAAAAGTTGACCTGGTTTTATTGTGGATACTTGACATCTTTCAGTCCCCTTCTCTATTGGTGTAGAGGTAAAGCACGCGCGTTCGGAAGCTACGGTTTTGGGTTCGAATCCCGGCAAGACCTTGATTTTTTTCTTAGGAAAGTTAAATTGTCGGACTATTCTTTCTTTCTTTCAACGAAACTTCGGTATTAAATAGCAAAAGCATTAAGGTACCTAAAAATGTCCGACTTCTAGTTTTAAAAGTGGTCTTAAATTTCATAATTTTCAAAAAAAAAATTGGTTTAGTTTATAATGATACTGTATAAGACGTATTGCGCTTACGTCGTGGTTTGAAAAAACTGAGCTTGTAAGTTACGATTTCTTCTTACCTCAAATTTAAATTAATTGAAAATTCGAATTATTTGAAAAAATTTTTTGATTCTTTTTTTTTAATACCGAAAACATAAGAGTAAATTCATGGAGAGACGTTTACATAGTGCAGCCTTAAGTTAACATTGATATACTGTTAAATATAAGAAATTTCCTTAACCTAAATAATAAGTTTTGAATAAATAATTCACTAAGATTATATTTAAAGAAGTTTTTATAATCTTTACTTTCAAGGGTAGACTCTCAGTGGGTATTTACTTTGCCCTTCGTCTATCCTCTCCATGGTCATTTTGGTTCTTTATAATGTTTATCGATGTTGTACAAAACGTGAATTTTTGAGAAAATAAATTCGTTCTTTCTTTGTAGTGTCTGCTGATTTTCTGTTGGGTTGCTTTCCAAATCATAGTTTTTTGCTACAAAGCATCATTCTTCTCTGATATACGCAATTTCAACAACATAAATTGATAGCCGCGTAAAAACTTTTAATTAAATAATTGATAGCCGTTCTTTAATTTTTTAGCTTAGCAACTCTGATTTTGTGTAATTACTTTTTTCTTTTTTTTTGCTTAAACGGGTTTCGCCTATGCGATATCGACTATATGCTTCTGGCTTTGTGTATTTCAGGAGTGCGGCGTGAAAACTCAGCATTTCAAAATTTGATAGCTAAAATTTTTCTATTGCGTTTCGTTTTCGGTTTATTCACTTTCAGCTTAGTTGCCGCTGGGTGATTTATTCTGATGACGTATTTAACGGCGGTGATTGACTTTCTTCGCATTTTTTCTACAATTTAACCAACGTGAAAACTTTTTGTAAATGTATCCTTTTTCGAAATTAGAATATATATTATATATAACTATATATAGTTTTTCTATACAAAGATATATAGGCGAGAACTTGAGACTTTAAAGTTTGAGATTTTTTGGCTTGAATTTTATGAGTATGTTTGCTCCGAAGATGTTTGCTTTAAATTGAAAGATAGACTTATTTCAGGATGAAATTTTGTTTAACAGAATCAGTGATAATTTTGGCAACTTGGTTTACCATAAATTCAGTCCTGCTTGGGTAGAAGAATGCCTGGTGTTTGAGAGTTTGTGTATTCTTGCGTACTGAAATTTTTCTGCTTCTTCGTTGCACATAGGTCAAGTTTTTTTTGTAGAATCTCGTTTGATTGGCAGAATTTGAGGGAAAATAGTTCAGGGTGTAGAGTGGTGTTGTGCGTGGCTCCGCAATTCGTGTCTGAGCATCTGTTCATTGAGTTGCATTCAGTAGCATGATGCGTTCCAAGGCAATTAAAACGAAGTCATTTGTACTTTGCTAGCTTCGTTCTTTGAGCTAACGAGAGCTGAAGAAATTAGGGACTGCGCCCATTATAATGTTGCTCGATGTCTAGTGGACACAAGTGCTCAATTCTTTTAAAATTATCGTCAAACTGCTTATCTGGATTACTTCTACGATGCTCTTGCTTGCTGTGGTGTGCACTGTAGTAAAGTTTTTGAATTTGTTTCCTCCGATACAAGTCCCAGGTTTTCACACGCCTTGGAGTAGTTGTATAGACAGTCGGTTCAAATTTTTAGCGCGTAGCCGTTGATCTCAAAGTTGTGTACTATCGTAAGAATGCATACTTGATGATAGCTCGAGGATCGCTGTCTCATACACTTTCTTAAGTTTCCATTTCTTCAGTGAAAGATGTAACCACAAATTTGGGATAGCCTATAACCTGGTTGTCTTGTGTAAAATTAGAACAAAAACTTTTCTACGAATTATTTAAGTTCCCCAATGCAGAGTGACTGCATGTAGGTTAGTTTTTCCACTTTTTTTCCTTGCAATTATGTTTATCTGGGGTTGTTTCCTATTGCTGTTTCGAAAAGCTCAAACCAATAACTCCAATCTAGAGGATTGACACGGCAGTTTGGTAGCTTCTCAACTGGCAGTTCGAAGCCTTACAATCTAATTGATTTTGAGATAAACATTCCTTAAACGAAAGTCAGCTTCAGATGGTTTTACATTTATGATTGCGTTCGATTGGTAAACAAGTTGTCAAATGCATGGATTCGCTGAAGAGTTGTATACACTTGCGTTCAGTCTTCAAAATTCCATATTAAAATTGTGACCCTGTTGCAGGTAGTTGTTTCTTGATTGCAGGTAGTTGTATCTTGATTCTGATTATGATGAAAAGCTAAACACGGTTGTGGTCTATTGGTTGAGTTTGTGACGTGGTATGCAGGTCAAACGATATAATGTTGTATTGCATAGGTTCGTGACAGGCAGAGAAGTGTGTGCTAGCTATTGAAGTAGAGGGGTCGAAACCTGTCACTAATGTTGAAGTAATTTAGATTAGGTTGTGGGCTGCGCAAGAAGTTCGAACGAGAGTAAATGTTGCTGCTAATGTGCTTTGGATTGTTGTTTGCTGACTTTAGGTAAGAGGAGTAATCGTCTTGAATCTCGCTTTGAAACTTCTCGTATCTTCTCATATGTTTAAATATCGAAAATTTTAGTCTGCGTAGCGTAAAAGTCTGTTGCACTATGTCAATATCTGATAGGTGATTAGCTGATTTTCGTCTTGAATCTCGCTTTAAAACTTCTCGTATCTTCTCATAGGTTTAAATATCGAAAATTTTAGTCTGCGTTGCGTAAAAGCCTGTTGCCCTATGTCAATATAAAAAGCTCCATCCCTTGATTTGATTGCGATTAATTAAACCACCTCAAGCTACGCCGAATCTGATTGTTTTTGCCGTGGTTTACAGTTCTAGGTCATCGAATGGTTTGAAACGGTAGTTCCTTTTGTTGAAAACAGACTATTGATTTGATTTGTTTGATTGTATGTAGATTGTCGAAAAGTAGCACAGTGGGCGGTGTGGCTGTTCTGGAATGTCGAGTTGAGAGGCGCCTTAACGTAAAGTGTTTTCTTGGCCGCGATGTTAGTAGCGTGTGTAGACGCGAGCCATTTTCGCGTGTGAACTGTTATTTCTCATTTCACTTAAAGTAAATAGTCTGGAAGTCCTGCTGGCATTACGAGTGTGTGTATTTCGTGTACGACTTGCTTTTTGAATTTTTTGCTTTGTTTATTTTTTAACAGGTTTTGGGAAAATTTTGGAACGAAAATCTTTATGGAATTTTTGTCGTATTTTGCCTTGCAATTCCACTCAGATTTGTTTTTGATCCTGATAAGTTTGGTATTTTAAAAATGTTGGGGTTTTTTATATCTGCGGGGAGTTTTTCAACTCCAATAAATTTACCAGTGCGCCCGAGGGTTGACAGTTACACGAGACAAAACGGTGTTTGGAAAAGACCTCAGAGACATTCCTTGACGTAGAACTTGATTCACTTGGGGGGCCGAGGTGATGTAGACAGGCGTGTAGACTCTTGCTGCTGTTAGCTTAGGTCTGTGGTTTTTCTTAGTTGACTTCTAAAAATTAAATTTTACCCTTCTTTTCTTTTTCTGTAGTCGCCAAAATATTCAACTCGGGCAAGATGAATAACGCATAATCTTGAATTGTCTTTGGTTCATTTGGAAGTCAAATGTATTTATATTGTGAAAAAACTCCGGTAAATCAGGCAATCAAGTAATGGATTTTACCGCCTTTTATTCATTCGAATAATTATATCATTAATAAGCATGATTGTTATTGTTGAAAAATGTTTGCTACCGGAGTACCTTCTGTAATCAATGTGTTATCAAGTTGGTGAGCATTGTTTGATTTTCAGGATTTTATTGAATGGAAGCATAAGACGAGGTCAATGATTAAGAGTACTCACTCCCAAATCTGCATGGAGTTCGGGTACTTCGACGAGCCTCGTGAGAGAAGCGACAAGCACATATATGAATTGCGGTCGTACAAACTCAAGCCAGGATCCATGATCGAATGGGCGAACCACTGGGCCAAAGGAATTGAGTACCGAAAATCAGATAACCAGAATGTAGCTGGTATGTTCACTCATATTGGAGAGTTGAACATGGTCCACCATATATGGGCATACAAGAGTTTCCAGGACCGAAACAGGATCCGAAGGAACTCCTGGGCGAACTCGGGATGGTCGGAGACTGTTGCCAAAACGGTCCCCCTAATCAAGAACATCAAAAGTCGAGTGATGACTTCACTGCCTTATTCATGGTTAAAATGAGTTCCAAAACTATTAGCTCAAATGTTTTTTATTAGTTTATTCAGATATGATGAGAAGTTAAAACTCGTACAAATAACTTGCCGTAGCCAATAATTAGCTGAGCTACCTTATGACAGTGCTGTATTTTTGGTTTCGTAAATTTACAAAGATGTATCTTATGGTTTGGTTTGATTCAAAATGTTTTGAAGCTCTTTCTATTATGTTGTCATCATGTTAACGATTACACGGATTTATAAACTAGTCGACAAAATTACGCATTGAAAATTAAACAAATATTAAGTTATGATGAGTTGCATAAGCTAGATACAATGTCGTTCCTGAGAGCATGTGTTCTTCTAATTTTTACCGACAGCTAAATGGTTCCAATTAGGTCAAAATGGGAAAACAAATGTCATTTTTGAATTTTAAGCATCTCAATTTCTTCTGAATTTTTAGATTGAGTGATGACTGAACGAAAAGTGCTGAACAAATACTACCCGCCCGACTACGACTACAGAAGAATCCCGAGACTGAAAAGGGAGCGAAACGCGCAATGGGTGCAGCGAGTCATGGCTCCATTCAACATGCGATGCAACACGTGTGGACATTACATATACAGGGGCACGAAGTTCAACGCCAGACGTGAAACGGCGATGGGTGAGACTTATTTGGGCCTGAAGATCTTCAGATTCTACATTCGGTGTCCAATGTGTTGTGGAGACATATCGTTCAAAACTGACATCGAGAATCTAGACTATGCTATCGAGACAGGTGCAACCAGGTACGTCGCTATTCGGTCGCTACTATTGGTCTTTCATTTTGGCTATGCTGCTTTCTTTGGAACTATCTTTAGACAGTTAACTTTCTAAAATTGAATGAGCTAGGACGAGCAAAATAACTGATTCGGTCAATGTCAAAACAGGCTGTTTTTCAATCTACTGTTTTTGTGGGCAATAAGGCTGAAGAGTAATAAAAATTAGCGAATTGTTTCAAAACTTCCGGAAAAAATGTTAGAAACCAAACTTTATGAACAAAATTTTACGTAAACAGACAAAGAGTTTCATTGTTTTCTGCAGGAATTTCGAAGCTGCCAAGTTGATCGCGGCTGAGGACAAGCGCAAACAGGAAGAAGTCGCGGCTGAAGAGGCTAACAACCCTATGGCAGTGCTTGAGAATCGAACCCGGGACTCGAGACGAGAGATGGAGATCATGGAAAACCTGGAGGAGCTGAAAGAGCGGGCGGACAGCAATGCGACAACGGACTTGAATGACCTTATAGGTAACAGTCTAGCCAAACAGCAGCAGTTGTTGTCACAGATTCTACTCAAGCAGGAGGTTAGTAGTCCTATCAGGTTGGCAGCGTAGTCTGTAAATCCAAAGTAGGCTGTAATTTCATGTGCAGGTGGCGGGCCAAAAAAAACGATGATTACTCGAGGAAGCGGGAAGGTTGATTGAAGTCTCTACTGTAACGCTGACAACACATGTTTTTCATTTTTGATGCATGGTCGAATTATAATTACTGGGGTTTTCCTTGCTCACATCTAAGCGATCTATAAATTATCGGAAATGGAGAGGGGTTGGATTGTCGCAAATCGCGTATAGATTGTTTTTTTTTTTCAAAACTCTCATCGATGTATTTTTACAAGTTTGAGTGTTTCAGGAAGACGACGAAGCTTTTATCAGTTCCCTTTATGAGCAAACGAGTGACGGAACACGCATTAAGCGAATAAACACATCTATCTACGAAGCAGAAGTTGACTTGGACGATTGCGACGCTCTTCCCAATCTGCTAAGTGCCCCTTCGTGTAGCAAAGCATCCACGGATATTTTGTCTGCAGATGACGAAGAACCAAGTTGCAAAGTGATCAAAAAAGACAGCAAACAATCCAGTAAAACATCGAAAAGTTCCTTAAGTGGACTTGTCAAGGTGAAAACGAAAAAAACTGATGCGAGTATTAAAGTGACGCCAAGTTGTAAATTGGACAATGTCGCGAATCACACTAAACCATGCGAGATATCTGTTAAACCGGTCGAGTTTAGTCAAATAGACAAGGAATTGGATAAATCGGATGCTCGTTTGAAACCTGAAACAGATGTTAGGGATGTAGAAAGTAAAGAATCTTTTGAAGCAAATGGCAAATCGGATTCCAAAGCAATAACTGATGGCAAAGTGGCCGCTAAACCTGCATGTTCACTGATGCAAATTCCTTCCTCAAGTGAAATTCCTTCTTCAGTGGCTCCTAGTTCTTTGTTATCATTAGGAGCCTACAGTGACTCTTCTAATAGTGATGATGGAGATGGATGAGTTTAAAACCATGAACGTTGTGATTGTGTTTTATAAATTACATGGAAGTAAAGTGTTAATTGATTTTGATTAAACCAATAGTTTTTACTTCCTACATGAAATTCTAGTAAACTGAGGAAAAAATACAGTTAAACACCAAATATGTTTGTTCAATAAAAGCATATAACAGGGTTAATTAAATAGCGTTTACCTAAAGCTAGAAGAAGCACTTGTGTACAGAATTCGAAAATGTGGAACGCGATACATTTTACGCGAAGTTATACCTAACAAGACCGCTCGTCTTAAGTCGAAACTCTGAACAATCCGACCGGCCAATCACTTATTTTTCGAATGTTTCCGTGTTTTTAGCCGCGTACAATGCCAAAAATTACCAAGGATGCCGGTTACGACCTTATTCTCAGAAACTTTTATTTTATTATTTATTTTTTCTCATGAGTCTTTTTTTTGCGTCGTGTGATAATAGAACTATAAGAACGCATAGAAGTTAAACGAATCAGGCATTAACGACTACAGTGTCTTCAAAAAATGAATGAACAAAAAATTGAAAAAAAAAATCAGTTTTTTGCTCAACATTTTTTTTATTTTTGAAAGTCTTTTGTCACAGAAGCGCTAATTTAAGCTTTCAAAATTAGTTTTCATTCAAATAAAATCAAGTTATTTTCAACCTCAATTGCTTATTTTCATATATAACAAAAGTTAATTCACTTTGGGACAAGTTTTCTAATGTTTTCAAAAATTGTTCGGATCACGACTGAAAATATTTTAAAACGATATATCTCTTGACCCAGTACGGTTGCCAAGAATTTTTTTTTGATCTAGAACAAGTTTCTGTTGTTCCAGAAAGCATGTCTAAAAATCGTGTATGCTCTGAATCGATCATTTTCGGCATGTTTGATGCAAAGTTTCCCTCCCAAAGTGCTGAAAAAATAATTTCACATTGAATTAAGGCAAGCTAATTGGCCACATTTTATTCAATATTTGACGTTAAACATTTTTAGTTTTTATAATATCCAACTTTTGAAAAAATGACGGAATATTTCTGCTCGGGTCGACCTAGCAGTTTTTGACATGGTAGCTTGGCAATTTTCGTAACTAGCATTTTTGACAAGTTTATTAAACAGTCTGAGAGCTTATGATACCCATGGCTAAAAATTAAGTTAAGTGGTTTAAATTAAGGACTATTTTAACGTCATTATCTTAATTTGTGATGGTTAACACGACGGGGTTAGGAAATTAGATGACAAGCAAATTAGATGGCTCCAATAAAACGGAATTAAGACGTTAAATTTTTTTTGCAAATAAACGTCCAAAAATACAAAAAGAGTGTAGAATCCTTTTGCACATCAAATTATTCATTTAAAATGATTTATAAAACGTTAATCGGAATATTATAAAACATTTTTGAAATGCATAAATTATACAATTACGATATGTGAAAAATTGATTCGCATTTAAGAAAGCTCGAACGAAAGTTAATTGAAGTCAGCGAAAGTTAATTGTAGTCAGTAAACAGTTTTCACACACGTTAACAATACAGTTACGTCTAAATATTTTCCTATTTTGTAGTTTTACATCGACTTCCCGGTAAACACGCTATATTTTTCGTCCATCATAGTTTTTCAAATTGAGCTGAGACAAAGCAATTTGCTCATATTTTTCAGCTTCCGAAGAAAGTTTTTTTTACTCAATGTCAATTTTCAATATTTAACTGCGTATATGACGGATTTCTTAAATACCATTTGAAGCATATAAATGTCTGCGGCTGAAATGTGAAAAAATTTCACCTGTTATCATTTTTCGTAAAGTTATCGGGGTTTGAAATATGCTAATTTGGGATATTCAAACTGCGATACTTTGCGATCTTATAATACGGGGAAGCGGCGTATTAATGCGTTAAAATTGAACTGAGGCAAGTCGTTTGGTCTTATTTATAGGATAGGAGACGCTAAATACGTGTTTTTGTATTTTTCATCAGCGTGCAGAGGGATAAATTGAAAAAAAAAAATTGAATGGCCTTAAAGTGCAATCAGAACATTAAGCGCTGCATCCTGAGCCTTATTGATACGTATCCGCAAATTATATCACTTTGTGCTTAAAGAATTTTTGGGGATAAACTTGAGAAATAAAAGAAAATTCAAAATCTCTTTTTTTGAACAAGTTTGTTATTATTTTATGTTGAATAGCCTTTGATCAACGTTAGAGGGCGGTATGAAGATTCAAGGTTTTCCCCTGATGCTAGTAGTTTTGCTCCTTCTAATGTTGATTTTCTTTGCGATCCTTATGAGTTAAATATTGTATACGTATATTTTCTCACTAAATAATTCAAATAATAATTCAAATTCAATTTTTTCGGACTATTCAACATGGTTTTTCAAGTGAGACATGCGAAGTTCTTGAAGAATTTCTTGAATAATCTGATTTTTCTTCACAGCCGTCTGAAATTGAAGTTCCTTGCCATCAAAAGTGGTTTGAATTGAAAGCTCTGTGCTAGTTCTCAACTCAAATTTCGAAGTTTATATTTACAGGAACAATAGAATGAAAATCTAAAGAACTAAGTTTGAACAATATCAGTAACTCATTTATGCTTCTAAATGAAAATAGCTGTTTGAGAATGAAGTTTGAGGTGTGAAGAATTTTAAAAAAGACTTCGTTTAATTGAAAAGAAATGTATATGCGCCTGGCTGTATGCGACATTTTAATGTGTTATATGTTGATGTTCATTTTTAAAGTGTCAATCAATGTACCGAAGAAACCTATATAAGTCGTAGTATATTCTCCGTTTATTTTTTCAATTTTGTATTTTAGTGGTTTGACTTTGATATTTTTTCAGGTTCAAGTTTATCATTTATTAGAATGGCAGATTATGTTCTCTACTTAAGTAAGTAGAAATGGCGCGAAAAAAGTGAATGATCTTTACGTTCGAAGGTCAATTTTAATTTATGGATTTACACCGTAAAAAACACCCATTGATCCAGTTTTCTCGAATTGGTTTTAAAAAAGAGTTGATCGTAAAGTTTTCTTGTAATTTGATGAGCTTCAACTTGATATTTGAGTTTCCAATTTCTTTTATATTCGGGTTTAGTTGAGTTCATTGACTCTTTTCCAACTGCTTGTTGACTATGTCTTGGCTCAATGCTTACAAATGGTCGAGTAACGCTCTAGTTTCTCTTCTTTTACATTAACTCATTTCCCATTCCCTTTTGGTTCCGTTCCTTTCATTAGCTTTAATTATTGCAGCTCAGTAATAATCATGCACGCCGTAGAAAGTTTTGATTTCCTACCGGCTAGAGTTACCACTGCAATACGCAAGGGTATTTCATCCGGGTACTGTACTTTTCCTTCTTCCCATAAACTACCGCATCTGCAGGGCTTCTGTAATAGTTGAAACTGCTTATTTTTCCCATTTGGCGTTAAAGTAACGTCCATGCTTGAGGCGACACAGGTCAAAAGTTCGATTCAGGTCACGAACTAATTTTGCCATCTGCTATAATCCATTTTTTGGTCAAAAAGTATCATTGGGTTATCATTTATCTGCTCAGTCACCAATTGTTGGTTCGTTGAAAGGGCGATTTTTTTTCACAAACTATGTCTGCTTCAATGGAGTTGAAACCTTACGGTTGCAAATTCATTTTTTCTGACAAACTTTTTTCACCGTTACTTCAATGCTAACTTCACACCGGCAGTTGTCTTCCTAGACACATTTTCCTCCCACAAAATGAATTTTATTCGATTGCGGATGGTCGATTAGTCTAGAAGCATAAATAAGCTTGGTTTTCTGAAAAATTTTCAAATCAAAGTTTTCAATAATTTTTTTTTGAATCACTGCTAATTGCTTTGATTTTCTATTCAATCTATGTTAACTAATTTTGGTTTTCATTGCTTAAAAGTTTTATAAGTGAATTTTTGAGATTGTTTTTATGTCTCCATGTCCTAATTTTAAATGTCAATGCTGCGATTAGCAAGCGTTATCAAATCGGAGTATAAATTTTTTCGGGTCAATAACTAGTTTAACAAAATCAATTGAACCACTGGTGATGCTGCTATGCTGCTGACTTGCACAATTTCATGAAAATCCAAATGTAACTACGGGGTACTAGTTACTAATCATGCTAGATCTAGAAGCTCTGTCGGTTTAGTTTTCAAATTATGTAGTCTAGTTTGCATACGCTATTTATATAGCTATCGTAGATCCTATGTGTGTGTTAAATAAAATTTTTTCATATAGGTTTTTTTGACGAAAATGTTCGCCACAATTTAAAAGGAATTTCGCCTTTTTTTTCGAAAACATTTTTTAAAAAAATTTAAAAAAGATTCGTACTTATGTAAAATTTATGTCAACAGTTTTGAATATTATGCTCGTGATTAGCAAGCGTAATCAATTTGGAACAAGATTGTTTTATAAACAATTTGTCAAACAGAATTACTCAATCGTTTTCTCAAATCTGCCATTTCGTCAATGAACAGATATATTTTGATCATTTTTGCTAATCAATATTTCTTGATTTTATTTTTAGTTTCACCAAATCTGATTCGAAATATTATTTGTCTTTTTTTGGGATTGAAAGTTTTTCCGCTTCATGCCTGATAGGCTTAGTGGCCGCATTTTGCGCCGTTGGATGGCCGAAACAAGTTTCTTACGTGTTAATCTTTATTCTATAAAAGGATAATTTTTCTAAGTTATCAAGTTTTTTCATGATTTTTTGCCTCAATGAGTTTCTGCTCAAAATTTGTCGGTTTTGTTACCGCGTGATTTTTTAACTGCAAAGCGAACTATGGTAGATTCAATTTTTGTCGACATTTAAATTTTTTTTTTCGACTTTGAGGCTTGCGTAGCAATTTGTGCCTGCTAGTTTGGCATGCTTTGTTCGTTTGTATCGCAAGTGGCTTATATCTCAGAAACATCAAAAGAGCTTCAAAACAATGACAAAATAAATGAAAGCGCTGGATTTTGTTTGTCAAGAAAGTTTTCTGAAAAATTGAAGCGTTTTCTCTTGGTAAATTCTCTTTTCCAATTGGCAGCCTGGTATCAAGTGCTCCGAGCATCAACTCTCGTTACAAGTTTAGTGA